TGCCGGGGCGCGGTTGCTCACGCCTGTAATTACATCCCAGCACTTTGGGAGGCCGAGGCAGGCGGATCACGAGGCCTGGAGTTCGAAACCATCCTCGCTAATACGGTGAAGCCCCGTCTCCACTAAAAAATTAGCCGGACGTGGTGGAACGCGCCTGTAGTCCCAGCTACTTGGGAGGCTGGGGCAGGAGAATCACTTGAACCCGGGAGGCGGAGGTTGCAGTGAACCGAGATCGCGCCACCATACTCCAGCCTGGGCCACAGAGACTCCGTCTCAAAAAAAAAAAAAAAAACAAACAAAAAAAAAAAAAACAAAAAAAAAGTCTCCTTTTCTTGTTTGCAATTAGGTAACGTTTTACACAACGTGGTCCTTCTGTCATAGAAAGTGGGATGGGTGTGGAATACCGAGAAGAAGTAGATAGTTATCAAATTTGATTACTTGATAATTTATTAAGAATCATCAGATTTGGTAACTGGAAAGGGGAGGAATCTTTCGAAAAAGACCCAGAGTCGGCATCAGCACAAGCCAGAAGGAAAGGAAGCAATCACTGGGAGGGGAAAGCTCGCACATCTGCGCATGAGTGTTACCATGCCTTTTCTCTCCGAATATTCCCATCCGTACAACTGGATCAAGTTTTTGATTGCTGTCTCTGCCCAGAATTGCCCTGGTGTTTGGAGCACTTTTCTGTCTTCACCTCGACTAGTGAGGAATAAATGAATAAACTAGGGGATGGGTTACAGCATGGTGAACCCAACATACTCTTCTTTCCACCACTGGAAGTATTGCCCCCACGCGGTCTCCATAGAAGTGACAGGGAGAGGTTAGGAGCTTAGAAGAATCACACCACAGGAGGTCCTTGGACTAGAAGCCGTTTCCGAACCATTAGAATCCTGAGGGACTGTGAAACTCAGACCCTGCTATAAAAGGGCCGGAGGGTTCCCTCTGTGGTTGGCTCTAGAAGACGCCAGGCTGAGTGCCTCTTGGAAGCCTACCAGTGGTGGCACTGAGAGGGCTGGGGATTCTCAAAATGGTGGAAGGGTGTCCGAGGGCAGATGGAACCAAACACCTCTAGATAGGTCACAAGAGTCCTTTGCTTATTGTGGGTTCTCTGAAGGCACCTCTGCTCTTCATGTTCATCCAAAGAAGGAGTGGAAGGAAAGAAGCTGGAAGCAGTAAGGAGAGGTGCTGATTTTCAGACCTACATATCTTGTTTTGTTTTGTGGAATGAACATCCTTCACCTATATGGGATCCTCAGTGCTCCACTGTTCTTTCAAAGACAGGGCTTTGTGACCATGGAAATTGTTTCCTATTGTGTAAATTCATGTCTGGTTATAGAGCTGCATCTCCCACTGGAGCAGAATACACTAAATTTCATCCTTAGACAACATACACACATGCTTGCTTAAGGCATAAGTATAAGAGATTCAATCCCACCTCTATCTACCTTTTGTTAAAAAGGAAGGGAAGGAGGGAAGCAAGGAAGGAAGGAATAAAAGAAAAAAAAACAGGGAAAGAAAAAGAGAAGAAATGAAGGAAGAAGAAAGAGAGAAAGAAAGAAAAGGGGAGCGAAGGCAAAAGTGAGAGAACAAAGAACATATTCTGGTTGATTCATGTGTCTAAATACATCCAAGAAAATATTTTGGTTTCAAAATGCCCAAAATAATTCCAATAATTATTCCACTTCGCTTAGTATTACATAGGCAGTATTGTGGGAGAAGTGTATTCAAGCAATAAAAAAAAAAAAATCAATTTGCAATAGCAAAGGAAATCCTAAGTACCAAAAGAGAGAAAAAAAGAAAGAAACCTGAAGAAATACACATTTATTAAAGCTAAGGATAGGCATGAGTTCGTTTGTAATTGTTCACCAACCTCAAACACAGAGTGGAGTGGCAAACTCTTTCAGTGAAGATGTTTGAGATTGGATGAAAACTGGAGTGATATGAATGACACTGGCCTAAAAGCCCAGGAAGGAATTTGCGACTACCCCAAAACTCTTCCAGCTCTGGATCCTGAACAAGACAGTAATGATGTATATATATAAAGATTTCTTTGCAGAATCCTAAACTGACTGCCAGAAGACATTCCTTCTTGGCATGTGGAGCATGGAACCAGAAGGAAGAACAGGAGTACTAAGTGCTGAGGAACAACCTTTTCAGCTTCTGGGGTGCAAGGCCAGCAGCATATCCACCGTGCTCTTGCCGGCTATTTTGAGTGACTGACGTCGGCCTGGCCTCTGACTGAGGCTGGAATGCACACCATGGTTTTCCTGTTGGAGGGGGCCCCAGGCAATAGTCACCGAGTCTCCAGAGTGCTGTGGCCAGTTCATTCAATTACGCCACCCGCTGGAAAATGAATGCCCAATCACTCTCCGGAAAAGAAGCAAAACAGAGAAAGAGGAATCAACTTTGCTAAAATGCCCAGTCTTTGGGTCAAGTCACACAACGCTTATTAATTGCTCAAGACTATTAATTGGATGGTGGGGTGTCTGACAGAAGTGAACGCTACACATGCACACATCACACACACACACACACACAGGCACAAAACACACCACACACCTGCCTCAATGAGTTTCTTTAGAAAAGGAGCGCGCTGAGCAACCCCAGAGCAGATGGAAGGGAGCGCTGACCAGTATGTGCATATGGCATGGATGATTTCCTCAACTTTGTTTCTTTCAGGGGGAAACAGCTTTTTAAATTTTTTTTAAGTTGGGATGAGGTGGGAGGGAGCAGTTCGCCAAATGAAGTTTCCCTGCAGTTTAGATGCTGATGTGGGAAGCCAAGACATAGGGTTAAGAGAGACAGTTTCTAAGGTAGTCAAGGGCCCTGGCAAAGGAAATCTCGAAACTAAAGGAGAGGCATTTTATCCTTCTTACTTCATTTTCCTTAAGTACAAATGAAAGGGTTTTTTTTTTTTTTTTTTTTTTTTTTCCCTCATTCTTCAGTATCTTTAGGTTCCCCTCGAGTCCACAAGAGTTCAACAAGCACATAAGTTAAACCCTGGACACTCTTTGTATGGATACCTAAACGTCACTCAGGAAAGTGAATGATGAAAGTGGGGTTAGGGGGTAGAATGGGATGATTGCCAGTTAGTTGGTGATGTCCTGATGTTCACAGGGTCCGGGCTACTGGAGGTTACTCCGTGGGGTGTACTGAATTCAAGGCTAGAGCTCATTACCAAGACTATCATAAAGCTACATCTTCTGAGTGTGGTGGCAGGGGTGAGGGGGCTATGTGTGGCTCTTATTCCAGACGGGGACAAACATGTGGACCAAATACGCTGGGCCAGCAGGCAGAGCAGGCGGCCACATCTTCCTGAGCCTCCTCATTGTTGTTCCCCAGGGAGAGGGTTTTATGTCTGCTGCCTGGACCTAAACTGGGAAAAGAAGGTACTTTCACCTTCAATGAAGATGTATCTGACAGTAGAGGGGTTTGGAAGGAGGTTGCAACATGTCTGAGAAGGGATAGCCAATATCATCCACCAGGAAAAGCGCACCTGGGCATTCCCCAAGATAACCTGTGGGTCCTACGTATTCTTCCCGGGACTGGTCTGCACTTTCCCAGGGACTGGGGTGCCTGGGTTAAGGTCGTGGGGGCAGTCTCCACCTACCAGAGATGATTAGATTAGTTACTTTCTCTGTTGGTAAGCTATGGAGGCCCCACTCAGACCTGGTAAACAAAGACTCCACAGCAAACATTTTTGGGATTCAACCCCTAGAGCCAACAGCACTCATTTTACCCCTTTTACTTAAAGATCAAGCTGGATATTCTTCCTTTTTGTCATCATTGGTCTCTCAGTCTTCTTACCTCATTAGGCCAAAATATGGAATTTCAAGGAGGGCGGTGGGGTGGGCGGCACTGGCACACCTTGAAATAGGGAGCAAGTGTTGGCTGCTGACCCCATGAGGGGCTGAAGAATCGTGTATCTCCATTTCAGACAATACATTTCAATTCTTGTCGTGTGCCTTTGTCCATTTGTATAAAACAAAGAGCTCTGAGTGACAGCCCCAGTTAGCCTGCATGAGCAGATCCTAATAAACCCTCCCAAACCCCAACCTAAGAAAAAAAAAAAAAAAAAGCCACATGCCTGTTTGCCTGCGGCTTATTATTAAGACACCTTCTCAGCTTAAACACTTGAAAGCAAACCAAATGAAATGGCAATTAAGACTGAATTACCCCTTCTATCTATGAGATGAGTCTGTGGGGCCAGCCAGTTCTTTCTTGTAATATAGACACTGAGGAGCAAAGCCTCAGTATTTCAGGTTTATAGCCACCACCACCCCCTCCAGGCACTAGACAGCTTGGTGAAGGAAGCTGAATTTTGAACGAAGGAAAGCTCAAAAACTGTTTGAAAGTCAAGAAATCCACTGAAGAGATGGAAATAGGTGTGCACTGCTTCCTTCCTGCCCTCTATTTATAAAATATAACTTCCAAGCGTTTAAGGGATATTTAGGGGGTAATAGTGTTCCAAAACCTAATGCTACTGCTAAACGGTCTACACCCCACCACCACCAGTACTGTTTCCAAAAGGAAAGAAGAAAAGCACAAAAGAGGGGGGATATGGTTTGGGTTGAGGAGTGAAAGACAACATTTTGCCTAAATGTAGAATCTTGTCTCAAATCTTTATTCCCTTGCATTTTTCCTAAATGCATTGCCAGTTACACCATTTCCTGATGATGGAAACTTGGGACTGTCCATCACCGTTATTTATTTTTAAAGCTGCTGAAAAGTGTAAGCCACCGCCTGATTTTGCCTTTCAAAAAAGGGGAAAGAACCCAAATTCAATGTAAACATGGAAAGATCAGCATTGTTTCCACTTGGGCGAAGGCAGACACCCCAATCTGGGCAAAATTGATTCGGGTGGTTGTTGGAAAAAGCAGCTTTCAGCATCCAGGGAGTGGAACGAATAGGAATGAACACTTACCCATATAAAAGGAAGCTTTAATTAATATATATTTCTATCTCTAATATACATATACTGGAGCTAGATATCTAGCTTCACAATAAAATGTGTGCAAATACTCTCCACAGAGATAAGTCCCCACCTCAGTCGGTATAGAAAAGCATGATAAAGGTTGGAAAAAATGGATAAAAATGTTGAAAGAACCTCCAGTTCCTTATTAGGCGAAGATACAATATTTATTCCTTGTCTCCTGGGATAAATCTCTTCTGCCTATTGTCCTCCCAGTTCTCAGTGCTGATGCTTAATTTTCAAAACTTCTATATTACCAAGGGACCTACGACATCAGCCAAAGAAATACTCAGCAAGTACAAAATCTGTTCCAGGGAGCTGCTTTTGTGCAGAGGGAAAATTTTGTTCCTACAGGTTTTTAAGTGGGTACGAGGCAAGGAGCTATCTGATCCGGGCAAAACCATTACAATTTAGATATCTATCTATAGAACATTTTTTTCCTTTAAAAATTGGAAAATACAAGAACTTTGGATTTTTTTTCCCGATTCTTTTTTTGGAGGGGGAAATTGCATCGTAAGCTTTCGGAGAAACCCAACATGTCAACTACCTTTCCGGGACTAGTCCACGATGCCGAGGTATTATTACTTTTTTTTTTTTTTTTTTTTTTTTTTTTTTTTTTTTTTGAGCGCGCGTGTGTGTGGCGGCGGCGGCGGTGGCGGCGGCGGTGGCAGCCTCCCCTGTCTCTAATCTATATTGGACCGTTACGTTTAATTATAATCTGTCTTTCGGGGGAAGTTAAGGAAGGAAAGGGGAGAAAGTTCGTTATGACATCTGTCGCCAGGGAGGGCAACTCTCTGCCACGTTAAGAAACATTTGCCATAATGAGCGGGAAAACATAATCCTAATAATAAAAGGGAGGGGGGGGGTGAGGAGAAAGAGATAGAGACGGAAAAAAAGATTCTCAGAAAAGCAAAGAAAAGGGACTGATGGGGGAGCAGTAGGTGGACAAGGGGGATGGGGAAAACTCACCCCTTTTGGAATGGGCTTATTCAAGGAAAAGGAAGCAGAAAAGAGGGAGTCGGATTCCCTCCCTCAAATGACTAAGGAAGGGAGCAAGTTGAACGATTTGCACACTGGATTTTTAAAAATATATGGACAATGATTTTGAGCAGCCCGGGCCGAACATCTCGGCATAAACAGGCGCAGAATTTCGATGCTGGGGTCTAGTTGGAGAGGCAAGGCGGCGCGGGCCAGCGCTCTTTTCGGGTGGACTCGTTCCTCTGCTACCGCGGCCCCGGAGTCAGTTGCAAACTTGGATCCCAACGCTAAGCTCCCTGCACAAGTTGGGCAGGGGCTGTGTGTGTGTCTGTGCGTGTGTGTCTGTGTGTGTGTGTGTGCGTGTGTGGTGTCACCCGCACCTATATAGGGTGGGGGATTTTTTTCCGCTCTCTAGACTATGAGGACGAGGCCGCCCACCCCCAGTTCGCCTGTTTGCAAAGGCTCTCTGGTGAAGACGCTGAGACCCGGCTTCGGCTCGGCCCGAGTCTTACGCGCTCGCTTTCCTTGGAGTGCCAGAGAAAGCTCCTGGCTCTGGGAGAGTGGCGCCTTGGTTGCAAAATGACAAACCTCAAGTTTTTCTGCTCTCCCTTTTCCCCCTCTTCCTTCCAGATACGTCACGACGGATCAAACAGCTACCGTTTGATGCAGCTTGGCTGTCTGGAGTCCGTAGCCAATTCCACTGTCGCCTATTCCTCCTCCTCTCCTTTAACTTACTCCACCACCGGTACCGAGTTTGCGTCCCCCTACTTCTCCACTAACCACCAGTACACCCCGCTCCACCACCAGTCCTTCCATTACGAGTTTCAGCACAGCCACCCGGCCGTCACCCCCGACGCCTACTCTCTGAACTCGCTCCACCACTCGCAACAGTACTACCAGCAGATCCACCACGGGGAGCCCACCGACTTTATTAACCTGCACAATGCGCGGGCGCTCAAGTCGTCCTGCCTGGACGAGCAGAGGCGGGAGCTGGGCTGCCTCGATGCCTACCGCCGCCACGACCTGTCCCTCATGAGCCATGGCTCTCAGTATGGAATGCACCCAGATCAAAGACTCCTGCCAGGGCCCAGCCTGGGGCTGGCCGCCGCGGGAGCAGACGACTTGCAGGTAAATAAGCATGCAGCGAATTTGTCTGCTCCCTCCCCTCTTCGCCCTCCCCCTCCCGCCCCATTAAGGCTCCGTTTGTAAAGCGTCTCTCTCTCTTCTCTCCTCTCTCTCTCTCTCTCTCTCTCTCTCTCTCACACACACACACACACACACACACACACACACACACACACCCCACTTATGGAAAGTTATCAAAACAATTAGAGGAGGAGTGTGCCTGTTCTTTTCCTCTCATTGGATCCAGGCATTTCACCTGGACGCGCGGCAGTCCGGGCGGCTGCGGCCCTCGACCTTTGGTTTGTCCTCACAGAAGTCTTATGTGAATCAACATTTGTGACCCTGAGGGAATAAGGTGGAGGAGATGGAGAAGTCTGGGGTTGGGCCAACTGGACTCAGAGTAAGACCCAATAAATTGATGACCAATCGTACTCTCAATCTCCGCACTTTACAGGGTCTTCCGAGGCGTCCCAGATGTTTGTCTCAGACTGAGCTTGTGGAGATTTTACTACAAATAGGCTTGTTCTAAGAAAATTGTTGGGACTGTAAGCTTGAGCAAAAGTTTCACCAAATTCACTAGATATCTATGGAAAGTAAAGAATCGCAAATGAAAATCTCAAAGGTCTACCCTAAGGAAATAATCTGCATAGTGCACTTTACCGGGGTGTAGGTTGAGTTCAATTCTCTCCGCCTGATGTGCACTCAAAACCACAGCCCAGTTAGGTAATTTACATGTTTATTTTTGCTCTTCAAGCCATTACATTTTATGTAACATGCACCTCCTTAAAAAGACAAAAATGAGGCAATAAAGGTAGCGAAAGAGGGGAAAAATAAAGAAGGAAGGGAGGAAGGAGAAAAGGAAAGAAGGGAGAAAAAGAAGAAGGAAGGAAGGAAGGAAGGAAGGTATTCAGATACTGTGGAGGCCATCACTCAATCAGATGATCCCTCTTCTATTTCTTAACACATGTTTGCACATATTTTGCCAACAATATAATTTATAAGTATGCAATTATGTTGCCATAGGCATATTTCAAACAAATGAACCCACAAATACCCAGAAAAGAATTCAAAAGACCCATATTTTTAGCTCCTTTTAGCTGAAAGTGCAGTTCTATCTGTGAGTTCCTACTTTTTCAGTCTGCACAAAGCTGGCCACCTTCTTCACACTCTCTGGACAAATAGGGAAATAGTCTAAGAACACAAGTTGGAGACGTAAGAGATCCCTTGTTGCGCACAGAAAATCTTTCCTCCTCATTTACCTTTGAGCAAGAGATTATTTTTAAATTAAAGTGAAAGCCCTTACAGTTCCAACAAAGAGCCATAGCAGTAAGATCAGTACACAAGAAAAAAGATTTGGCTGCATAAACCTTGACTTTCTACATTTATATTCACAAAATAATTTTATACGCTCTGGGTATTTTTACATTTTTCACAAGGATCCCCTTATGTCTCAAGAGGGAAAAAATCTGCCATTCACTGCTTAGCTCAACTAAAACCTATTTACTCCTTTTAATAGCCGCGTCTGTTGCTGATTTTTTTGTATCTGTACAAATTTTTTTTCTGTGCTAGGCACAAAGCCGGGCATTTTTCAAAAGAGGGGATTAGAGCATTTGCAAGCACTAGACAAAGAGCGAATCCCGTGCAAAAGGACACCGTAGTTTATCCCATTTTCGACTTAGTGCCATTCAACTGGTCATTTATGCAATGTCATCCGACCAAACAACATGTTTTACTTATGAGGGAAAAAAGTTTGTTAAGTGAAGAAACCAAGGTTCGTTTCTTCTAAGAAAATAAACATTGTAACCGTGCGCCAGAGAGTGGGAGAAAAAGTAGTTCACTGCCTTGGAGAGCTTTGAAACCATTTATCATCTACATTTCAGATATTTTGAAACCTTTTCCTGAGCCTATCTCTTTTTCCACATACAAATGTCCCTTTTCTCTTTTATTACTCATATTGAAGCAAGATTACTCTTACTAAGGGACACACTCCAAGATACTAGAAGAAATATAGTACTGCGTGTGATATACGTTTATACCCTTACATAGATATATCCATGTATGTATATATCATAATATATATCCATCTTTATCTATCTAACCTATGAATGCTATGTAGCAAGTTTGTAAATCTGACAAGTTATTTTCTTCCACTGTTCTTGCACCAAGTTGGCAGAATGAAAAAGAAAGAGACATAGCTACTTCTAAAACAAGAAATGGGGAGGGAGTGTGTGGGAGAAACCCGTCTCTCTCCTTTTATTTCTTCCTTTTTAAAACATTCATCAGCATATGCCTCATTTCAAATGCAACAAATGTAAATATACTTTTCCCTGCACAGAATTTTAAGTGAAAGTCCAATGGTTTGGAGGGCGGTCTAAGTCTGCCTAACAGATGCAAACAGTCTTGTGGCTTCAGTTCCATCTTTGAGTCCCCTAAAAAGATTTGCTATGGCCAACAAAGGAAACTGTCACACCTTTTCCCATCACCGCTTTAATTTATGCTCAGTCTCCAAGTTTTTTTTTTTTTCATATTGATTTGATAATCACTTTAAGGCAGAACATTTAAAATAAGAAAGAGCTCGTGAGTAGGTTGAAAAGGGGGGTCTTACAGGCCTGCCTCAATATGGTGAAAATGGGGAGGCGAAAGGGAGCCAGGGTTGTAAAGGTTGTTTTGTAAAGTGGGTTTTTATTATGCACCGACTCTCTCCGCATTTACTTAACTCTTCACGGGCTGTTGGGTAGGTTAACACCCTTCAAGCCCTCTTTCATGTCCAATACCTCGTTTGTTTGTAAAGGAAAATGAGCCTTTAACACATTTCGATTTGGGAAAAAAGAAAAGGACAGACAGGGAGAAATTTTTATTTTTCTTAATCAAAAATCAGCAAACCCTTTGCATCTCTCCAGCTCCAGGGATTCCTCAATCCATTAGCATCTTGAAGGTCTACAGTGAGTGAACCTGAAGGTTTTTCCTTCATAAGGTCCATTTTGGGTGGCATTATAGGATGTTCCTACAGTTGGGGTAAAACAAAACCTCTATAAGACATCCTGAATCCTGCATATGAAATAGTTCCTCTGTGTCCTCAAGAAACCCACAGTCCCAGACTTGACACTCTAGGTGTGATTTGCTCTACTCAGAAAGTGCTGAGTGTACACTGTCTGTATATATGCTGTGTGTCTTGATGGGGACTCAAAGGGCTTCTCATTCTCTTATGCCAAGATGAAAGACTCCCAGGCACTTTGAAGTGTAATTTTGTATGGTGATGTAAAATGCATACCTTAAGATTTATACAACTTTTAGATTGTAGTTTTTCTTGCAATTTTTAAAAAATTATGTTTGCTGGAAAGCTTGCTTCAGCTCAATGCTTGCTTTTAAATGTCTACTGAGAGAGAGTTCAGAGATGGGCTAGTCTAAAAGACTTCACCTACATGGTCATGTATGTGAGTATCCATTTAAGTAATGTTATTTCTGTTTCTTTTATTAAGGGGTCTGTGGAAGCCCAGTGTGGGCTTGTTCTCAATGGCCAAGGTGGAGTGATAAGAAGAGGTAAGTAACAAGTAACAACATGTTAACCCTAGACATTCTTCTCCTATCTGTTACTTTGTTTAGAAGATATGGTTGTGCTCAAATTCCTTTTCTGATGATTAAGAAAACAATTATACTTAGTCAATTATTCTAGTCCAACACTGGCATATCCACGTTTAAAAGCCTCCTTTCTTCCATTAAGGTTTGAACCCAGGCTGTGCCCAGAAGGCTTGTGATAGGAGATATTTGTTGCTCCTCACAGACCAGTAACAGAATCAAAGTTAGAGGCAGAAGGAAAGAAAAAAGAAAAAGGCAGAGAGAGAGAGAAAGAAAGAAAGAAAGAAAGAAAGAAAGAAAGAAGCTTCTCACAGCCCCTTCCCCCAGCACTAATACCACATCCTCAAGCAGAGTTTCTTTTTTAGCCCTAAATGTGCTAGTCACAGCCTGGGTGTTTGAGGTGATGGTGTTAGCTTGAGGCTTTGAAGGATTCTGTGAAAGGCTAGATCATTGAGGCTTTAGGGGAGGCTAATGAAACACCAATATTGTAGCTGCCCTTATTTTTCTAAGTGTCCAGAACATTTCTTTCTTTAAGGGAGGGTGGGAGGAGGAGGTGGTGTTAACTGTACTGGATAAAGCTTTCTTGTTCCCATCTGTTGAGGGAAACATCTGAATCCAGAGTTACCCATGGAATTGGAAGGTGGGGGAAGGCAAGAGGAGAGGAGAGAGCTGTTGCTTTCAGCTCTGGCACTAAAGGGGGCTGCAACTCAGATGTTCCATTTTGACAAAAGGTTTTGAACTATGACATTCTCAGGGCCTTGAGGCAGTGCAGATTTTGCTAGCTTCCCCTACTTAACTGTACCCAAAGCTTCTGAAGTTTATTTCCCTAGCAAGCTGAGTAACCCGAGCAGCACACAAGGCAAGAGGGACCAGATGTTATCCTAACTTCATACGAATTAATAAGATGTGGTCTGTTCACCAAGACTAATTCCTGCTTTAGGACCACAGTTGTCTGCAGTAACAGAACACTAAAAACTGAGTCTCTTCTGATGGGACCAAATAAGTGTCCTTCAGCCCCTCTCCATCCCTTTGAAAGTTTCTTGAAAGATTTGCTTTTCTGGATACAGAAATGTGCTGGTAGAAATCAGTTGATTCTTTCACATTTAAACTGCAGATCCTAATGTCCAATGTAAACTCCATTTAAACTGACGGGGAAAGAAAAAAAAGGGTGCTTTTCCTTTGGAACTTGGGTATTGTTCTAGTGGATGTAAGTAGTTTACATTAAATTTAAGAGAGCTGCTCATCTCTTGTTGGTTCACCCTATCGAGATTCACACACACACACACACACACACACACACACACACACACACACACACACACACACACACTAGTGGTATAGCTCCACAAAGATTTTTTAAATGAGGAGTATTATGCTTGCCATCCACGCTGGTACTCAGACATATGGAAATGGAATAAAATAGGCCCAAGACTGATGAATATTGAATGCACGCTGTTGGAGGAGGCAAAAAAAAAAATTTACACAGTGAACAGGGGACCAGGTGAGATGTGCTGATCAGGGGTCTGTTGGGACGGGTAAAAATAAGGTGAGGCAAGAGCACTCAGGGCGCGTAGAGACGTCGGTGGTGCTGAAGGACAGCGCCACTAATTAGGTACGGGAGCCCGCTTCTCCCACAGCCGGCCTTTTGCTACTGCAGTTTTGCATTCAGTTCCACACTTATACCAAGATCACCTTCTCATATGCTTGGAAACTGCATCTGAGCATAAGATATCTGACAGAGGGCGGAATTACTTGAGGCCGAGGAGGGAGCTGGAGAGGAAGAGGCTTTGGAATCAATTGAATTTCTGGGGAGAGATTTATGGGACACCCTCTCACCCCCTCACACAATTCCCAAGAAAGGCCAACGCTCTTAAGTATCTCCAAAATGTTAGCTACTTTATCAGAGTCACAGAAATTATCCTCCTTAGGTGATGCTTTATTATTCCTGTAGAATTCGGTCCCTATTCGTTTCACCTAAAAATCGTCGTTGAATCTGCTACTTGAAACCAAATATTGATGTCATATGAGAACAGTGAAGCTCCAGAGAGAAAGGGAATGTAACTTGGGGTTTACGTCTGTCTTGTGTGACTAAACCCCCCTTCGTAGGAATTCAGATTTTAGCTGCTGAGTTTATTCCATTTCCACGTGTCTTAGAGAAAGGCCAGTTAACCTAGTTGAGCCGTGGAAAAGAGGGTGTGTGTCTATACGTGCCTGTTTACTCTGAAACAATCAATGTTCATGACAATTTACAAGTGGGTAGCAAGGAAGTGTATTCCCAAAAGAGGGTGTATATTTTGCTGCAGCCTGCCCAGCCCCTCATCTCAGAACTCCCTTTTACAAAACCCTAAAGAAGCCTATTTTCTCAATTGTCATGGCAGTACACAGGACCCCTGATATCAACAGCTCAGACTATTTGTGTTCATAAAAAATCAGGAAGACATTAACTCGAGTGCTCTACTATACTGCCCTACTTCATATAACCCGATATTGTCTAACAGCTGAGATAAAAATGTCTGTTTCTTTTCCAGTTCATGCTTTACAGATGACCCACCACATGAAACATGGTTTATTGCAAAGCACAACTTTTCACCATTTTCTCTCTTCTGCTAAGTTCCCGAATCAATTTACATTTCTAATGGTTTCTAGAATGTACTATGGGAGGAAAAATAAATAGATTCTACTTTCAAAGACCCCAAATGGTGTTCTTGAAGAAATATAGGTGCCTATGTACTTTACATGAGTTAATCACGGACATTGTCCTGGTTTGCAGTGGCGTGGAGGGCTTGGACGTTCTCAGTTGTTCTTTACATTTGGTGACTTCAACTTGTAAAGAACAAATAGCGTCGCCCTGACTCACTTGTTAAGTGGCAATTACATTATTTTAGCCTGTAATGAAGGCCCGATAGCCAAAGACTTCGTGGAAGAGGGGGCAGCAGCGAGGTAATTACCACCTAGATAAAATATTTGCCACCGCCTCGGAGGCACAGCTCCCTGCGCGCTCACTCTCGGTTAATGGTGTGCACGATTTTGCCCGCAGCTCCGCCACTCCAACCATCAGAACCAATAATCTTTACTTTACCCTGTGCTCGCGTATCGATAGCTTCTTTCGCCTCGGGCGTAGGCTTTGATATGTTAATATTACTGAGTAGCAAATTCTGCAGAGATCATATTAATGTTGTACGTACAGAGTGGAGCTTTGCCTTCGTTGAATATTCAGATACCGGGTTTCAAAAGGCATCTCTTGAAGAAATGAGGCTTCTATTTACAGGAGTCGTCTGTGTTTTTAATCATTAAAAAAAGAAAGAAAAACCCACTCTTTTTTCCCCCCTGAATCTTCTGAGGCTCTCTTACGGCCCCCTCCCCTTTGTCAGACACTGGTCCCTTTCATTTCTTGCTCTGAGTATTTAATAATAAGTGAACAATGTTGATGACGATGGTGATTATGAAGCTCATAATAAATGGATCCATATTGGAATCGCAGGGTGGGGGTTCAAGTGGATAGTGGCTGTGGACCTCAGAAGTGGGCTAGATGAGAAGACCCAGCTTTTCCTTACGTGGGTGGAAAGTGACATTTTGGCCCTGGTCTCTTTCGTGAAATCGGGACGGCAACTAAAAAGGGCGGGGGAGGGGGGCGGGGGGCGGGAGAGGAAAAAAATGAAAAAAGTAGAGAGGGGAAGCGCCCTTGTTTCGCTTTGTGATCATTCTGCCTTGCAGCCCCAGGCTAATTTCAGAAGCTTAAATACTGCCATAGCCTCTGGGCCACGCGAAGAGGGAGCGGACCCGGCCATGGGCAGGCAGGAGCGCTTTCCTGATTGCCCGTGGCTACACAAAATACAAACTACTTTGAATCAAAACATTTTAGGGGAATTAATATGATCTGAACTCTGCACGTTTTAAGAGAGTTTGAGTTTGTCAGATCGCTTAGAGGTGACTGGCACGCCAAGGCAAAGGCACTTACGCCGCGGTATAAACATTGTCAGATCTGATTTAATTTCTTTAAAAAAAAAAAAATGCTTCCTTGAAATGGAACCTTAGCTTCAGCTCCCCAGTCTGCCAATAACAGAGTAGAACTTTTCCCTTTAGCCGGCCTCAAGGCCGGCAGCAGGCTGCTTGGCAGGAGGACGCGGTTTCCTCTGCTTCTCTGGGTTTCAAGAAGGCGCAGAGCCTTGGAATTCGGGTTGGAGAAAACCGTTGGCTCTTTCAGCAGCTCCTGAAGGAGTACAATTGGAGGAGGATGGGAAGCCTTGCCCTTCTTCCTTTGTCAGTACTCTTCGGATTCCAGACGGACTACCTGGAATCTCTACTCTCGCTAGCCAAAGCTCATCTCTATGGTTCATCCGTTATGGGTGAAGATAGAGCCGGAGATACACCTCAAGCCTCGCCTGCCTCCTTGGTCCCCAGTGCAGATTCTGCAGGTTTGAAATTCAGTCTCCTTTATGTGAAATCTAAAACTCTTGTGCCAAAGCATCCAGAGGCATGATTTGTTGGAAATCTTTTTGGGGGGTTGGGGGTTGCAGAGGGGAAGAACAGCCTACAGCCTTTTCTCTAATTTCTTTAACTGCTTTGAAAATCAACAGAAGCCAAAACACTTTCTGCACTGGGGAATGGGGATTAATCTCCCCCCCCCACCCCCACCATACACACACCCTAATATCCACCATTATACGCCTACCACCGCATTAAAACAGCCAGTCTCTTCACGCACACCTCTCTTTCTTTTGTTCTGCCTAAAATCTACAAAAGGAGAAGCTCATTCGGCCCTGGTAATCCAGCTATATCTGTAATGTTATACCCTTCCCCCAAACAGCACAATTCGCTCCTGACACATCATCAAAGGCCTACTTGATTCCAATTAAGTCCGCATCCTTTGCTGTTTGATTACAATTAATATCTGCTGCCGTGGGGGAGGGGTAACACGGGGGAGGAGGGTTAGGAAGGGTGAGAGGCTAGAGGGGAAGCAGCCGAGAATAATTCTACCCACCCAACTCACAGGTGCACCTCGCAGAAATGCTACGGTAGAACAAACAGGGACAGGAAACTCTTGTAATCGCTTACACATTTTTAATGTGTCAGAAAAAAACGAGCGATCACTGGAGATGAAGAAGGGGAGAAGAAAAATCCCTGCCGTTTGTATTTCTTTCATTTGAATTGTAAACATCTGTTTGGCTGTAAGGCGAACAGAACATTTATTTTGCTCTCAAGATTTGGTCTAATTATGTCAACACCGACGCTACGACGAGTGGGGCGGCGCTGTGGCTTTGGAGAGGATGCGCGCACCGGCCCAGCGCCCGGAAGCCCTCTAGGAAGTATTGATCGCACCTGGAGAGCGCGCGGGGCCTCTCGCCACAGCTGGGTGCGTTCTGAGAGAGGGGAGGCGCGGAGGCCGTGCGTGTGGCTCAGAGGCAGATTTAGAGGCTCCAGGGACTCGCGGCTCCTTGGAGACAGCCGCCTCTGTTTCCTCTGCCCTAATAGCCTGGGATGAGAAGAGAAAAAGCTCACCCAGGCGCCGGCGCTTGTCTTTCCCATCTAGTTGCAGCACAGACGGTAGCAGTGTGTGTGTGTGTTGGGGAGAGCGGGGTGTGGGGGGGTTGTCTTGTCCTACTCCGCAGTTCACACCCTGCAACGGGATAGTTGTTTAAAAAAAATAAAAATGACGGGGTTGGGTGGCCTATAATCAGGTTGCCAAGAGTGCGTGCATCCATTTCCCCTTGCACGTCCTTACAAGGTGGGGAGATAAGTAGAGCAAGTGTGAGCGTCTTCATTGTTTAGATGGACAGACTGAGACCCAGAGTCATTGGCCCAAAGTTTCATGAGTCGCTAGTTGGTCAAATTCTTACTCGTAGACCAGTACTCTTTCCACTGCTCCACACTGTCTGCAGGCACTTGTCCAGATGTCCCCAGCTATGCCAAGGCAGCGAAGGTAGAGCCACTCCATGCTTCTTCAAACCGAGTAAGATCTAACAACGTATGGCAGCTGGAGGATCTGCATCCATGTATTTTGTGCCTAGTTTTGTCACACCTGAGCTGGAAGTCTCTGGCTGACTTCTTCCTGCAGCTATGGCAAAGTTGTCCCTTTTATGAAAGCCATGTCCTAGGCAAAGGACCTTGAGTAGACAGTTTCTCATTTCTTACCGCTGTTACCATAGCTACCCATCAGAATTTGCAGCATCACTGAAAATAGAAAGCCCTATCTCCAAATTCCAAATTTAAAAATAGTGAACTTTGTGAAAGTATTGCTTCTGTGAACTGTATATGGAAAAGGGATGAACTCTGGAGAAGTTCTGCATGAATACACTGGCTATAGAATCAAAGACATTCCTAATTGGGATGCTGACTCTAGAATGATTATCACATAATTTCAGTAAGAGCTGACATGCGACACAAGCACCATGAGGAAGTTCAACTAGTAACAGTGGGGATGACTACTGTAAATGACTTGGTGTGGGCCAATGTTTCATGACGTTCTTCTTTGAGATCTCATGATTACCATCTGTAGTCTGGATTCCCTTAAAGAAGTATCACTCCCTCAGTACCTTCAATCTAAAGACAAAACCCTGGTGATACTGACCTATTACTTTTTTCCACCTCTCTAAAGAATAAATCACTGAGAAGAAAGATATCAGGTTCCCCATGTTGCTGTAAACTCTACAAGTTGCCAAATCTTTAGCCAGGACTAGAGAGTTCCCCAAGGCTGCAGCAATGCCAAGTATCAAAGCAACAGAAATTCCCTTTAAAGATGCTGTGACATAAAAAATAAAAGACTCTATAGTTGATGGCTAATCCTGAATACAAAATAAATCCTTCAGGCAATTTGTGTGTGCATAAAGCATACTCTTAATATGCAGCTTGTGTAACTTACCTAATAAATGTCTACTTGAGCATAAGCCAGAAGCCCAACCTAGATGTAGGAGAGGGAGACTCTGGGCCCAGGGAATTGGCACGTGGGTGGGTAGCAGACTCAGTGGTTTCCCTGGGAGCAGCTGGCTTTCAACACATAAGGTTCACTTTGCCAAAAGTCTTCCAGTTGGGGGAGATTGATCTAACAAATTCTTTTAAAAATGATAATTATCTACATCTCCCTAAATTAGGTTTCTAATCCACTGAAGATTAGTAAAGATAAGAAAGTTCTAAAATTGTATTATTCCCTATCATTAGCATCCAAGCAAATAATTCATACATATACTCAAACGCTCTGTTCTCTCACTCATCATAAACTTGAAGCTAACTGGCAACTGGGTGAGATTCTTTGTGTCCTCATTTGTATACTGGCTAGTATGCAAGACAGGAAAGTTTATGTAAGAATACAAATTTGCTTATGATTCATAGTGATTGTGAGTAGAGATCCATTTTTAGAAGAGGGCTATGTGAATTTTGCATAAAGACATTGATTTCTGTTTGTTTAATATATTTGGTTTAGACTTATCTAATTCCTAAAATAATCAGGATCATAATTCTCACAGTATGACTCTAAAATACAGATTAATTAATACCTACCTTGCTTTCCTGTTCATCTCAAATTTTCAGAAGTCATTTAAGAATTTGTTTTTGAAATGCATTTTGCATCTGTAAGTACAGAGTGAAACTGATAACAAAAGTGAAATTGTAGTTTTAGGTCCAGGAATCTGGGGCAAATTTTTATTATTGTATTTTGGCTTTAAACTCACTAAGAATATGAAGAGGGGGAAATCACAGGAGAATTTGATTTTAGCTCCTAAAGCAGGTGTTTACATGATTTGCCGTTGTATTGGCTACAAGTTTGATGGTCAAGAAATGGATTTTAATTTGACAATTGAGATTATGAACTCTCAGATTTCTAACTGAGAACAGGTTTTCAGGCACTAGCATGGAGGTTTTGGCAGAGTGCACAGGACCCAACTTCTAGCCTGAAAATGGTTGGCTACCCTGACATTCCCAGTGTTTAATCTCCTGGTTTTTGTTGGTTTGTTGTTGTTTTTTGGAGGGGCTTTAGAATGCTTAGGGAGAAAGATCTTGGTCTCCAGCACTTGCAGGGAAAACTTGGGTAACCAAAAGACAGCCAGGAAGAATTCCAGAAGGTACAGGGGTAGAAATATTTTAAGAGTGGGGCAAGGTTAACTTTAAGAGTGGGGCAAGGTTAACTTTTTCTGTCTCCTCAGGTTTGGGATCCCTTTGCCTTTTAAAAGGTCCTCCCAGGTTCTTTTGCAACCCAGCGCAGGGAAAATACCAGAATCTGAATGCCAGAATTTCTACCATCGATGTAACATTCCGTATGTGCTAGTTAGTAAATGAGGGTAGGAGATACCTGGGAGGCAAGTGGTAAGTCCTAGTTCAGTGCTTCTCAAACTTTAATGACCACGTGAATCATCTGGGGCTCTCATTAAAATGCAGATTCTGACTCAAAAAGTTTGGAGGTGAGTCTGAGATTTTGTGCTTCTAAAATGCTGAGCAGTAAAAATATTTTAGACAATGCTCTTCTACCCATTTTTCTTCCCCCACCTACTTTTTTAAAACCTCTTTTCTCTCACAGAACTTTTCCCTTTTCTGGATATGGGTCGTAAGATTGCCCCTAACTGAAGAAATAAAAACATGATCAAAAAGCCAACTTTGAATTTGCCTTAGACCCTTAAAAGCTCTGCCTTCAGATTGCTCAATGCATGAGGCAGTTTTGGATTCCGGAACTGTAGACACCATGCTAGCAGGGTAGACATCGGCTCCAAAGTCTTGCAGTGGGGGAGGAATTGGACAGTGGGAAATGCTTCTCAGAGATGATCACCCTTGGATCCTCAAGTCCTCTTCAGTTCTTGTTGACTGCCCGAGGATAGGGAACATACACTGTTGTTCCTGGAGGAGATTGAAGCTCAAGGGGCTTTCTGGAGCTTGGAGACAGAAAGCTTCTGTTCCAGGAACCCCAGCATGGCAATATTGCCTTGATGATTTTGCTACTGACAATTATATATATTTTCTCCCTAATAGTAATAATGACAATGAAAATTACAACATCAATATTATTGTCAGCTAACATTTAATAATTATTAAATTAATAATAATAATTAATTACTGTGTTCTAGGTATTTTGCTGATGTTGAAGGCTGGCATACAGTAGAGGTATTTAACCTACCATCACCTGTATGGATTGGAAATTTCTTTCAATGAGTAACTGGCTTTTAGCAGTGCCTGGGAGTGAGTGACTGTGGTGCCTTTAATTGGCAGATGGATGAGGAAAATATGGCAGTTTTCAAACACTTTGGAAAAGACAGTAATTGTGGATAAAACGTTTCCATCCATTGTGTACATTGTGCATCTGTGTGTGTACATAAACACAAAACCATGTATAAGTAATACCTACTCCTTGTGAACTTAACTATTGAAATTCAGGTTTTTAATTCACTGAAGCGTTTCTTAGTGTGAATGTTGCCAAAATTAACACTGGTGAGGCAGTCTACACTCCATAGGATGCCAATGTTTCCTAACAATTGCACACTCACAGACATCTTCACAAACATTGAAAAGACACGACCCTGAGTAGTATTTGAAAGAACATTCAGAGCAGCTCTCTGTGATGATTTGGGGGATATATAAGTACAACTGTTAGCATGTATTCCCAAATCCAGTACAGTCTTTTGATGTTAACTGCCTCTCATGCAGTTAGCTTCTTTCACTGTCACTAACATGTGCTATACTTTTTTCTCCCAAGGTGGCACCTGTGTGGTCAACCCCACAGACTTATTTTGCTCTGTCCCTGGACGTTTGTCCCTTCTTAGTTCTACTTCCAAATACAAGGTGACCATTGCTGAGGTAAAGAGGCGCCTCTCCCCACCTGAGTGCCTCAATGCTTCACTCTTGGGAGGCATTTTGAGAAGGTAAGGCAAAGCTGTATTCTGGCACAGAATTTCTAACTGATACCATACCCTCAATCCTTAGTCATGATGTCTCCCATCTGATAGTGTATTCCCCATGTGGTAAATTGTCTCATAATTTTCATCAGAATTGTGAATTTTCAAAACCTAGTTTTTGTTTGTTTTTATACAGAGCAAAATCGAAGAATGGGGGCCGCTGCCTGAGAGAGAAATTGGATAGGCTTGGCTTAAACTTACCAGCAGGAAGACGGAAAGCAGCTAATGTCACCCTCCTCACTTCCTTGGTCGAAGGTATGACTTTTCAGTTTAGCAAAATAATGCTGGAAGGTTAGCATGTCTTTGAAACTCAGGTTTGTTAGACTATGCTGTTTTATTTTTGTCTGTACCATTAAGCAAGTCAGTTAACAGTTAAGGTAAATTTCCTAAATTATCTTGACAATGATGATTCAATTAGACTTAATATAAGATTTAGATAATTCATAAAATATCATTTAATTTACTAATTTTGGTAGTAATAGGAAATAAGACAATGGAAGTTTTGGGGACTTCTCCAAATAGCCTCTAAGTAACAGCAACATGAAATTGGCAGTGCTCTTGTCATTTGCATTATTGTTTATTTTAGAGTTTAAGTAAATCTAACTTAACTCATTGTAATTCAGTACAACATGATCTACAGGAGAAATAACCCTTTACGAAGAGTTCACAGGGGTCTAGCCATGATACTGAGACTGAAAGCATATTGTATTAATCCTAGTAGACCTCTCTAAAGACATGGTGAATTTTCATGGCTGTATGGGTGGATAAGCTCAGCTCAGTTGGAGAGATGTTGAGGTTAACCAGTAGTATAGAAAGAGAAATGGAAATAAATATATTCCCAGAAGTTGTTTTATATCCAACTTACCTTTTCCCTTTTTTTCTCCTATTAATGTCTAAACTTTACACATTCTTATTCAATCTTCTTTTAAGGAGAAGTATTGTTGAAAGTTTTTTTTTAACATTGTGGGGAACTTTTTGAATGTCAAAGGAAAGTTCTTTCATCATGCAGAATGCTATTGTTTAAAATATAAAAGGCCGGGGCCTTTTGCCAAGCCTCACCTTGAACACATCTGTGTTACTTCATGCATTCGTTATTTGCCTATATGGCACTGTAGGAAGTAGTGAGTGAGACACAAAACCAAATATCTATAATTTTTTTCAGATTTTCAGTATGTAGCATTTACTGTACAACATTGAGAAGTAGTGTGTTCTTGACATTTGTCTTGGCAGAATTGCTTTGGTGATTTTGTTCTTAACAGCCATCTTTGCTGTGTTCCCTGATAGTAGTCACGATAATAACAACCACAACAATAATATTATTGACAACTGACATTTACTGTGTTACTATTACCATGTTCTAGGTCTTGTGCTGTGTTTGCCTGTGTGTGCTGGTACTAAAGGCTCGCATATGGTAGATGGCTGTAACCTATCATACACCCACATTGGGGAAGAGCAAAGTAGAAAAAAAATGACTAATGGGTTGATTCCAAAGGGAGACAGATTTCTACTCATTTTAAGTAAAAATGTGGGTAAAATTATAGTTATCCTTGTTTAAAAATACAACAAAACACTTGCTCAGGATAATAGAGGGGATTCAAGGATCATATGGATGATAGGACTTGAGTAGTCCTCAAACCCAACTCCACAGTAGAGTCAATTGAAAAGGTTTCTTACAAAGTGCCTGGGTCTCATCCCCAAATCAACTGAAACTCATTCTGTGGGGATGGCTTAGGCATCTAAAGTTTTTAAAACTCCCCAGGTGATTCTGATGTATAATGATGTTTAAATATCATTGATTTAATTGTTCCTTGGAATCCTTTTCACTACCCAGGATGATTGTTTATGAATGCTCATGAAATTTCTAATTGGTGTGAAAATTATCAATCCTAGTAAAGACTTTTCTCCATGCTGTCTATGAAAGTACTGGTCAGTACAAAACGGAAGAGCCACAAAAAGTATGTTCGCAGTTCTTACTGATTTTTATGGTAGCCAAGAGCACTGGAATATCCTGTATGGGAATCCTCAATCTGTATTAGCAGCAAGAGTGCAGGTCAAATATGTGGAATCCTAGGATGATCTCCGGAGTCTTACCATCCTACTCTTTCAGCATACCTCTCCTATCCCAAAAGTGCCTGACTTGTGGTCTATTCCTGTGGCCTCTGCTCACAGATAGCTATCAGCCTTGGCTAATGAAACAAGATTTTATCCTTTTGAGGAGCATCTTATCTTAATTGTGTGCTTTTGAAATCCCCAATATCTTCAGGGTGTAGAGAAATAAATCTTTCATTATTGAATTCCAGGCACATTGATGAAACCTTAGAAAACAGATTTAGACTCAAACGGACCTTTTGCATCCCTCCATTCCCCACATAGTAAGAACCCTCAAACCCACTTTCATACACACACACACACACACACACACACACACTCTTTAAAGTTTTAGTGCTTATGTGCAATATTCTCTGACATTTTAATTTGATTACATATTTTGTGTTCTTTTCTAATGTTCATTGTAAACCCACTAAATTTATTTGACAACTCACTGTCGAGTCATGAGTCATGACCTACAGTTTTTAAAATTATGAGTTATACTGGGATATAAGGAGAACCTAATCTTTGACGTACAAGGACATTATATCTAAATTGAAATAGGCTTCATTATAACCCTGAGCTGACAAGAAGAGTGACTTCATTGTTGATGACTCTCTTTTATATTTTTATCCTCATATTTTGGTTGGGTTGGTGGTAACAGCTGATTACTCCTTTCCAGCCAGCAAGATGCCATGTTCTGAACTAGGTCATGGCCCCTGGAACCCTGCAGACAGTATTAGGCGTATACAGAATAATCATGACCCAACTCTGATTCATCAAACCTCCTGGGACATTGAAATCGTTGATGTTTATCAGCATTTTTGGCAACTTGATCCAATGTGGGTCTAATGTTTGTTCCATTCGTACAGTTTTACTCCTCTGTGAATTTCACCATACTTACCATTTCATGTTTATAAATTCTTGAATTGACCGTGATTTTGGTAATGTTATCCCCCTCAATCAAATATTTTTCAAGAGCCAGAAACTTTTTAGGCATTTTCATTTTCAAAAATTCAAAAACTAGGTTTCTAGTGTCTAAAACCGTCCATTGGCTTCTTATATGGCCTTTCTATTGTCTTGTGGGAAAGAATACTACTATTTCTTTCATCATTTTTAAACTGAAATCTCTTCTTTATCTTCTGGATTTTCTACATTGACTTATATGTGCATTTTAGTTACCAATAGCTAGTAACTTAGCTTGTCTTAACTATCTCTTGAAACTGTTGCTTGAAATTGTTATAGTCTAGCCATGACCAGATGAGTTTCTCAAACATCCTGATGACCCAATACATTACTGGGGTTCAATTATACCCCCCCATTTTGGTATAATATTGAGCATAGGAGAAAAAAATACCTAATTGATTGTATTCCTCGTAGAGCAGACTTAGAAATAAATCTCATGAAGGTTAAACTTCTATGACTTTGCAGTACTTGACTCTGCCTCTTTCTGGGGAAGATTTGAATACAGTCTTGACATTGTTGATATTTTTATGGAATACCAATGAAGGAGTAGTATGTGGGGATCCTTGAAGGCTTTCCACATAGAGATGATGTAATCTTTGTGAAGAGCCAATAAATGAACAATAAGGTGCCTTATGACGGGGATTCAAATTATCAAATGAACCTTTTTTTTTTAAAAAAAAAACAACACTTGTTACTGACATAACAGGTTTCATGAGCATATCCCTAGCTTTCTATGCTTACCTTTGGTTTTCACTTTTAAAAAATTATTTTAGAAATCATTTTTCCTATATTCCTTTTAAATGGAGTCACTTTATGAATAGCTCCTAGCATTTTTTTCAAAGCCCTCATATTAGTCATTATTTTTAGAAATCATTTTAGGGATATATAAGACAGGGTTGTTTGATGCAAATTTATACTATATTCCAATAATTCACAACTTTTCTGTTACAAATATTATTGTACCTACTAACAAATGGGATGAAGAACTTCTGACTGGCTGAATGTTTTTCCACCTGATAAAGTGTTTGAAAAGTGAATGTTTTAGTAAGGCAGATATTTAGACTGGGGATTTTGGGGGGTCTATATAACATAGATATATTTTATTCTGAATGAGATAGAAGTATTTAAATTGAGTCCCATGAAAGTAATACCACATTTAACTTTTTTTCCAACCCATAAGTCTTCATCTAAGTGGTTTAAATCTATAGGTAATAATTAGGTATAACTCCTTGTATGCTGTTTTATTACAAGTCTCTTCTTTCAATTTTCCTTTGCTAATTACATTGCTCTCATCCATTAGTATCCATAATATCAGAAAGATGTCAGTCTCCGAAAAATACAGTGGCTTGGATTTGCTTAACTGATCTTCTTGAAGAGACACTGGAATAATTTTACTCTTCTAGGGTGGAAATAATTCTCTTCTAGAGTGGAAATTATTCTATCTCGAAAACATTCAAGGAATTTGACCAATATTAACACCCTTGTTATATGTTTATTACTCTTGAAGTGGCAACTTCTGTGGATGCCTCCTCCATATTTTACTTAAGAAGAATGTTTGCAGAAATGGTGGTTATTCAAATAAATACAAGGAGTCAATGATGTTGTCATTCCTGCATATCACTCCCTTCTTACCTAGGATGTTCCAAGATGAATGACATTGTAGAGTATTACCAGGAGGAAATTCCATCTGCTTGAGTGGTGTGCTTCCTGGGACAGTTTTGCTGCATTTGCAAAAGCTTGTATAACATTCTCAGGCAACACTCAGGGTTCTGAAAGTACAGATTATTTAAGCTCATAAATATAAATACCTTGAGCTGAAATTTGTTATGATAGGAGATCAAATTCTCTCTCTCTCTCTCTGTGTGTGTGTGTGTGTGTGTGTGCGTGTGTGTGTGTGTGTCTGTTTATGTTTAAACAGTGTGGGACAATGAAGGGCATAAATATGTATCAGCAAAAGAAAGGGAACCAGTTTCAAATATTGTGTATGATCTCCATCAACCTTTCTCAGTTTAAATCCTTAGTAACTGTTGCTCTTCTCTTTCATTTCAAAATATATACTCTCAGACCCTATCCTGGACATCTTAGCTCATGTAAATTAGTTGTTTTGTGCCACTTTGAAAATCTATTAACCCTTTGCCTGGTATTCCCCCTACCACCTCTTATCCTCAGAATATCATTTTTGAAGTAGGGCCTGACTTTGG